TCGGTTTTTCAGTGCGATGGTAACTTTGAACGGTCACTGAATGAAGTGTTGTGAGTTGGGGACCATCTGTGCAAGGAAAGGTTGCTGGAATTGGGTATGTCTAGTACAGAGGTAGGCAACCTTGGCTCCTTTATGACTTGTGGACTTCAACTCCCAGAATTCCTGAGCCAGCCATACTGAGGGGAAAGGAAGAGGTTTCCAAGCTGAGCCATGCTGGATCAGGAATTCTGGGAGTTGAAGTCCACGAGTCATAAAAGAGCCAAGGTTGCCTACCCCTGGCTTAGTGACAAAAATGCTAATTCCAATTGTTGTTGTAACCTGAAAACTTACCTGTCTTTTCAGCGTACTGAAATTTTTTAGCTAACTTTCAGGTGACATAATTCTTAAATGCCACTTTGTAACGCCTTGGTAAGCCCACACTTGGAATATTTCATCCAGTTTTGGTCATCATCTTATAAAAAAGATGTGGAGACTTTGTGGAGAAGAGCAACAAAGAGAATTAGGGGCAGTGGTGGGATTCAAATATGTGAACAACCGGGTCTCTGTGTGGATGCCGCTTCCGGAAGTCCATTCTGGGCCTGCGCAACAAAAAATTAGCTACCGGTTCTGCCAAACTGGTGCAAACTGGCTGAATCCCACCACTGAGCAGGGGGCTGCAGGCTAAAACATACGAAGAACGGTTGTCTAGTTCAGGGGTGAGGGAACCTTGGCTCTTGTATGACTCGTGGACTTCAACTCCCAGAATTCCTGAGCCAGCCACGCTGAGGGGAAAGGGAGAGGTTTCCAAGCTGAGCCATGTTGGCTCAGGGATTCTGGGAGTTGAAGTCCACGAGTAATAAAAGAGCCAAGGTTGCCTACCCCGGTCTAGTTTAATGAAAAGAAGAACTAGGGGTGAAATGATAACAATGTTCCAATATCTCAGGAGCTGCGACAAAGAAGAGGGGGTTAACCTATTTTCCAAAGCACCTGAAAGCAGGACAACAAGCAATGGATGGAAACTAACCAAGGAGAGAAGCAACCTAGAACTGAGGAGAAATTTCCTGACAGTGAAAACAATTAATCAGTGGAACCACTCGCCTTCAGAAGTTGTGGGTGCTCCAACACTGGAGGTTTGTAAGAAGAAATTGGACAATTATTTGTATGAAAAGGTATAGGGTTTCCTGCTTGAGCAGGGGGTTGGACTAGAAGACCTCCCAGGTCCCTTCCAACTCTTGTTATTCTGCTAGGAGTTTCAGAAGAACTGCAGAAATGCCGTGATACAAATAGAAGTACTCAGTGTATTATAAGAGATCGCATAATTATAAATCGCCTATTAAAACTGTGGGATAAATGTAAAAGAAAAATAAACCCAGGTTTCGACGTCTCTTGCTCAAACATTATTTTCATGAAAGCTAACGTGGTAAAAGGTTGATTGGCAGGGATAATGATTCCTATAGACTGCAAGATTTAACATTTAATCAAACAAAGATGAAATCTTTCGAGACTCCCTGCTAGGAATAGTCTGAAACACCTCATTACTTTCAATATCTTCAAATCAGTAGTATAGTAGTTCAAAAGGAGCTAAAAATGTAAGATGGTAGAGGGTTTTATCATATTTTAGAACCTTATAAAACAAAACCCCAGAACATCTGCTAGGGCTCATACCTAATTGCTATTAAAATCTAATTCAGGAAAACGAAGAAGACAAGAGCCACAGGATTAAAGGAATGCCGAGTCAAAATAGGATAATTAAGACGATAATTAATATCGATGAAAGACATATAGCTAATTCCCCACAAGGTGGTGTGGAGATCTTGCCAGTTTTGACAAAATTATATGCCTCATGGAGAATTGTGGCTACCATTTATGGATAATAGGTCTCGTGGCTCTAAGCACCGGGGTCTCCAAACTTGGCGACTTTAAGATTTGTGGACTTCAATTCCCAGAATTCCTCAGCCAGCATGAGAAATTCTGGGAATTGAAGTCGACAAGTCTTAAAGTCGACAAGTTTGGAGACCCCCGCTCTAGCAAATTCACCATACCTTAGCACAGTGGTTCTCAACCTTTCTAATGCCGCGACCCCATAATACAGTTCCCCATGTTGTGGTGACCCCCAACCACTTATACATCACCGGGTGCCAGGGGCGTGGCCAAAGGGGGAAAAAATGGCGGACAGCCTTGTTTGGCGACCCCCGTGAAATGGTCGTTCGACCCCAAATGGGGTCCCGACCCACAGGTTGAGAACCACTGCCTTAGCATGTTGTATGAATCCAGCCATCTTAGCAGATGTGTCAATCCAGGATAAATTCAACAGTAAACCTCCCGCACGCCCCACTGCGAGAAAGCAAAGCATGGAAGATGGGAGGCTTCAGCCCGCATGGACCCCTGGAAGTTTGTGCATAAAATGCCAAAACCAGGTTAGTGTTTTCTAATGACAGCATTCAAGCCAAGGTGAGATTTCCAGAGTTCAATCGCTCAATCAGAATAAAGCCAGAAGGGACGTTGAAGATCTTCTAGTCCAGCCCCCTGCTCAAGCAGGAGATCCTATACCATTTCAAACAGGTGACTGTCCAGTCTCTTCTTAAAAACCTTCAGTGATGCACCCACAGCTTCTGGAGGTAAGCTGTTCCACTGGTTAATTATCCTCACTTCACTGTGAGGAAGTTTCTCTTTAATTCCAGGTTGCTTCTCGCCTTGATTAGTTTCCATCCATTGTTTCTTGTTTTGCCTTCTGGTGCTTTGGAAAATAAGTTGACCCCCCCCCTTCTTTGTAGCAACCCGTCAAATACAATTGCTACCATGTCACTCCTTCTTTTCTCTAGACTGGCCATCCCCAATTCCTGCAACCGTTCTTCATACGTTTTCATCTCCAGACCTTTAATTATCTTAGTTGCTCTTCTCTGCACTTTTTCCAAAGTTTGGCCTATGACTGAATCACACTTCACACAACGCCTAGCCACATCGTTGCAAGACAATATATCTGTGTCATAAAATTCTGGAAGGCAGATGCAGCCAAGTTTCACATCTGCTACTCTTAATGGACATCTTAATCAAAGCCCTAAATTGTATATCTCCCTATGTCTTAATTTTATCCTTTGGCAGATTCATCACTCAGCTGTGTTTCACTCATCACTAATTCACATCTAATGCACACTACTGATCACTTATTTCCAAGAAGCATGCTAGAATCAACGTTTTTTTCTCTTTACAATATTATTTTCCAGGTCTCCTCTTTTTCTTTTTTCTCCCCACCCCCCTCTTTTTTTAGGATAAGAAGAATAACTCATTCTTGTTTTTACAGGTAATGCTCAATTTGCAACCACAATTGAGCCCAATCTTTTTGTTGCTAAGTGAAATATTTGTTAGGTGAGTTTTGTCCCATTTTACAACCTTTCTTGACACCGTTCTTAAGTGAATGACTGCAGTTACAAAGTTAGTAACATGGGTGTTAAGTGAATCTGGCTTCCCCATTGACTTTGCTCGTAATAAGGTCACAAAAGGGGATCACATGTCAACAGTCATAAATATGAGTCCGTTGCCAAGCATCCGAATTTCGATCACATGACCATGTGATCAATGGTCCTAAAGGTCAAAAACAGTCATAAATCACTTTTTTCAGTTCCGCTGCAACTTCAAATAAACTATTGTTAAGTCAAGGATTACCTATAATCTGCCATTAATGCTGTTGTTGTTAGTTGCGAAGTTGTGTCCGAACCATCGTGACCCCATGGACAATGTTCCTCCAGGCCTTCCTGTCCTCTACCATCTTCTGGAGTCCATTTAAGCTCACGCCTACTGCTTCAGTGGCTCCATCCAGCCACCTCATTCTCTGTCATCCCCTTCTTCACTTGCCCTCAATCTTTCCCAGCATTAGGCTCTTCTCCAGTGAGTCCTTCCTTCTCATTAAGTGGCCAAAGTATTTGAGTTTCAGCTTCAGGATCTGGCCTTCTAAAGAGCAGTCATGGTTGATCTCTTCTAGGACTGACCGGTTTGAATCGCCTTGCAGTCCAGGGGACTCGCAGGAGTCTTCTCCAGCACCATAGTTCAAAGGCCTCCATTCTTTTGCGCTCAGCCTTTCTTATGGTCCAACTTTCACAGCCATACATTGCAACTGGGAAAACCATGGCCTTGACTATACGTACTTTTGTTGGCAGCTGCCATTAATACTATTATATGTATTTATACTTTTCTTTTGCTAATTGGTTTAATACAACATACTTAAAATTAAAAGGAGGAAGCCAAATGGGTCTTCCTGATAGGACGTATTTTCTATGCATATGGACATTTTTGTCTCTTTCAATTGACATGCTTTTCTCACCTCCAACTCTCTACAAATTACAGGCTGTGAAAAAAAATGAAAAACGCTTTGACGGAGATACCCCTGGGGACAGAACAAGCGTACCCAGCAATTTCTGGAAAGAGAAGTTGATTTAAAGCTGCATGAATATTTCCTTTGAAGTGAGTCCTTTAAATGACTTCTAAGTAAATAAGTATAACACTGCTTGTTATGTCTACAATGTGGACTGGAATGTACAAGTGTTACACTATTTTTATTTATTTATATGTATCCCACTTTTAGTATTTTTACAAATAACTCCAGGTGGCAAACAAATCCAATACTCCTTCCTTCTCCTATTTTCTCCACAACAGCCCTGTGAGGTGAGGTGGGCTGAGAGAGAGTGACTGGCTCAAAGTCACCCAGCTGACTTTCATGGCTAAGGCGGGACTAGAACTCACAGTCTCCTGGTGATTGGCCCAAAATCACCCAGCTGGCTTTCACGGCTAAGGCGAGACTAGAACTCATGGTCTTCTGGTAATTGGCCCAAAGTCACCCAATCGGTTTTCATGTTTAAGGCGGGACTAGAATTCACATCTCCCACTTTTTAGCTTGGTGCCTCAACCACTAGACCAAACTGTCTATTAGCTCCAACATGACCAACAGTCAAGGATTATGGTCATTACCCTCTCAACGCTGTTGGGCATCAAATTAAGCGCTCCTGGTACAACTTCAGAGGTCTTACCTTGGGATCAATCTTGATGCGAAAGAGTAAATTCTGAACGTGGTATCCATCGCTCACTTGCAGAACCACGGCGTCTTCCAAACTGTTAGATCCATCGTGAATGTAATGCATGAATCCTCCCGAAAGTTCATCCAGGCTGAAGACATGCAGAGTCAATGGGCCATTTCCTGGAAGTTTGACTAATTGCCCATGTTTTGGAGGGTCTAAAATAGTCACCGTCACATCTTGAGGATTATCCCTATCCTGGATATCAAGCAAGAGGTTGGTGATGGTTCCAGCATCTCTTTTGCTAACAAACAGGACTTCATTCTTGAGGACATAAGGAGGCTGAAGTAAAATAACAACAATAAAAAAAAATCAGTTCCTGAGTTGCTGGTATATATATAAATTTTTTATAATTACAAGTGCTTAATATTTTATCAGCAACATATTGTCTAGGTTCCAACATTTAACTTGCTAATGCATATTAAGTTCCTTTCTCTCTACCTCCTTTTTCTAGCCAATGATAAAAGGTATCCCGTGTTCTAAAATAAACTGAATCTTCTTTCTCTTTCATTTTCAATACCTATCCATTTCTGCACACTCTTAAGATTTTTTTAATTAACACTTCCTCCGTTGGTAAATCTTCATTTTTCCAGTGTTGAGCGAACTGCTGCAGTTAATCTATGTAAAATTAAATATATACACTCTTTCTCATAATTTCCTACAATTATGCCTAACATTCAAAGTTCTGATGGCACTCCTCCCCCCCCCCCACCGCCATGGCAGATGATTGCATTTTGGGCACTTGGCAGCCAGTGGGCATTTGCACTATCCCACAGTCATATGACGGCGACATTTGTCACAAAAGTTTTCCAGCAAAAAAAAATGCCCATTTCTTTCAACGGGTTTGCTCAACGAATACAGCATTCACTTAACAACCGTGGCTTTACTTTAAGGACCACCAATTCGCTTAATGACTGCCAGGTTCTAGTTTAATGAAGAGGATGACGAGGGATGACATGATAGCAGCGTTCCAGTATTCAAGAGGCTGCCACAAAGAAGAGGGAGTCAAGCTATTCTCCAAAGCAGGACAAGAAGCAACGGATGGAAACTAACCAAGGAGAGAACCAAGCTAGAACTAAGGAGAAACTTCCTGACAGTGAGGAGAATCAATCAGTGGAATGGATTTGCCTCCAGAGGTTGTGGGTGCTGCAACAATGGAGCTTTTTTTTAGAAGAGACTGGACAGCCATTTGTCTGGGATGGGATAGCGTCTTCTGCTTGAGCAGGGGGTTGGACTAGAAGACCACCAAGGTCCCTTCCAACTCTGTTATTCTTCTCTTGCTAAATAATAACAGATGAGTTTGGTTTTTGTTTAGTATACGTATACTTCACACTATACTTTGTAAGTGGTTATGCTCGAGATACATTCGGCCGATATTTGATATTCAAGGGTTTGTTTGTTTTTAAATTACAACAGTGTTCCGTATCTGTGGAACAGATGGTCTCCTTGGTAGAGGATGTGAGAGTTTTAGAAGGTAAGAAACCTGGGACAGAAAGCCAGGGAGAAGAGTCACGCAGTCCTTCTGTTACTATTCTAATCTTGCCTTGGGTCATGTTCAAAATATTTATCATCTCCATGGCAAACTGAGTAAAAGGGCAGAGTGGGCGAGGAGAACAACAAATGTTTAGAAAGGTTCATGCAGGATTAGACTTAATTACAGACAATTCATTTAGCGACCATTCAAAGTTACGATGGCTCTGGAAAAAAGTAACTTACAACTGGTGCAGCATCCCTGCAGGCACGTGATCAAAACTCAGCACTTGGCAACTGTTGTATATTTACAATGGTCACAGCATCCTATATTGTAATAATAACAATAAAGTTGGAAGGGACCTTGCAGGTCATCTAGTCCAACCCCTTGCTCGGCAGGAAACCCTATACCATTTCAGAGAAATGGCTGTCCAGTCTCTTCTTAAAAACTTCCTGTGTTGGAGCATTCACAGCTTCTGGAGGCAGGTTGTTCCACTGGTTAATTGTTCTCACTGTCAGGAAGTTTCTCCTTAGTTCTAGGTTGCTTCTCTCCTTGATTAGTTTCCATCCGTTGCTTCTTGTCCTGCCTTCTGGCGCTTTGGAGAATAGCTTGATTCCCTCTTCTTTGGGGCAGCCCCTGAGATATTGGAACACGGCTATCATGCCACCCCTCGTCCTTTTCTTCATTAAACCAGACACACCCAATTCCTGCAGTCTTTCTTCATGTTTTAACCTCCAGTCCCCTGATAATCTTTGTTGCTCTTCTCTGTACTCTTTCTAGAGTCTCCACATTTTTTTTACATCATGGTGACCAAAACTGGATGCAGTATTCCAAGTGTGGCCTTACCAAGGCATTGTAAAGTGGTATTAATACTTCATCTGATCTTGATTCTCTCCCTCTGTTAATGCAGCCTAGCACTGTGTTGGCCTTTTTGGCAGCTGCAGCACACAGCTGGCTCATATTTAAGTGATTGTCCACTAGGACTCCAAGATCCCTCTCACAGTTACTACTATTGAGCAAGGTACCACCTAAACCAGTGGTTCTCAACCTGTGGGTCGTGACCCCATTTGGGGTCGAACAACCATTTCACGGGGGTCACCAAACAACGTGGTCCGCCATTTTTCCCCTTTTCCTTAGCTGTGCTACTCCCTTTTATTCTATTGGCTTTTGAAAGCCAATAGAATAGACTCTCTTGAATAGAGTCTAATTCTATTGGCTTTCAAAAGCCAATAGGAATTGTCCAGGCTGTCTCTGCCCTGCTGAACCTGCCAAAAGTCCCATTCTGCAAACGGTGCTGCAAGTTGTCTGCAGCGAAGGCGAGCTGTCTGGAAGTTTCTACCCCTCCCTGCTGAGCAACTACTAAAAATGTAAGTAAAAGAGGGCCAGGGGTGGGAGATGGGAGGCCGGCGGGCGCAGGGAGGGTTGCTGGCGCACGTGGCGCCCGGCGGGTGCCTTACCTCCCTTGGGCTGGGCCAGCTGGTGGCCCAGCCGGTGGTCACCCTGCGTTGTCGCTGCCCCTTGCTAGCTACGCCTCGGCCGGCACAGGGGGCGGCACCACACATGCGCGGCGCTCCCGGGCAGGGAAAGTCCTCGACTTACGACCGGTTGGGTAGTCCTCGACTTACGACCGGTTGAGTAGTCCTCGACTTACAGCCGGTTGGGGGGGTTGCAACATTAAAAAGGTTGAGAACCACTGATCTAAACTATACCTGTGTGCATTTGGTTTTTCTCGCCTAAATGCAGAACCTTACTTTTTTCACCATTGAATTTCATTTTGTTAAATAGCATCCAGTGTTCAAGTCTGTCCAGATCCTTCTGTATGTTCCTGGGATCGCCACTTGCGACTTTCCCAGACAGCTTCCAACAAGAAAAGTTGGCAGAGAACCCAGCAGGGAAGGTTACAAGACCCAGTTGCATGGTCTCATTTAATGACTGCACCGTTTAACACTGAATGCTCCAATCTCTATGATGGTTTTAAATTCAGGACTTCCTGTAAGCGACGTGCTGCTTTAAGACCTAAATTGGTTCTGGGGGATCATATGTAAGTCTGCAAAAACTGTGGATCTATTTTTTTTTTTTTTTTGCATTTTTGTTTTAAAGGCATGACGATATGGGACGTCAATCAAACAAGTAAGACATCCATACATTTTCATCTCACCATTACTGGAATCTTACACACAAACAGAGAAATACTGTCAATATACATTTTCCCCTCCAGCCTGTTCAAATATATAAATCCATCCATCTTCAACCTTACCTGAGTTGAAAGAGCTTGAACACTGAACATTACTGGCTCAGATGTAGACTGTTGATAGCTGAGTGTCAGGAAAAATGAGCCATTCCTAGGGGAAACCCCAATATGATATTATATTGATATAAATGTACTTTATCACTTTGTACAGTAGATGGGTACACATTTTCATTCATTCAGAAGAGCTGTAGCGGTACATTTTTCTGGGGTTTCAAGCTTGCCCAAATGAAACCCACTGTCATGCCTCCGTGAGAGCCTGAATCTGCGGTGGAAAATGAACTGGAAGAGGACCCTATGGAGGCCGAGGGAAAGGGGTCTGTGGCTTCAGAGGAATGTGGGGAAGAGCAGGCCGAGGCAGGCCAGGGCCCTTCAGGATTGGGACAGGAGGAACAGGAGAGACAGAGCTCAGGTGATGAGCAAGGGCCACCCCCCCACACACACACCCTCCACACACACACACACCCCCATCATAAAGCACGGAGAGTGGAGAGAAGGAAGGAACAACACAGGCAGGCTCAACTACTCAGGAGAGTGTCCCATCCCTCTTCACACCTGGAGACTGAGATTTAAGGAGAAGCTGTGGGGAGGGGCACTTGTCGGGACCAAAGCTGACTCCTTGGAGTGTTGTGTATTGTTGCTGATCTCTTGTTCTGTGACTTCTGTTTGGAAACCTGGAAACTCGGGACTATTGGATTGACTGACCACATTGCTTGAATGTTTAAAGCAGTGGTTCTCAACCTGTGGGTCGGGACCCCATTTGGGGTCGAACGACCATTTCATGGGGGTCGCCAAACAAGGCTGTCCGCCATTTTTTCCCCCTTTTCTTTGGCCACGCCCCTGGCACCCAGTGATGCATAAGTGGTTGGGGGTCACCACAACATGGAGAACTGTATTATGGGGTCGCGGCATTAGAAAGGTTGAGAACCACTGGTTTAAAGACCTTGGACTTGAATTTAATTACAGCGGCAAGGTTGCTGACTGGGCAATATTGGAAGAAGGATTCTTTGCCTACTTTAGAAGAATGGTTTCTTAAGGTTTCTTATTTATCTGAAATGGCAAAAATTTCGGCTTATCTGAAAGACCAATCGCAAGAGAAATATATTTTGGTGTGGAAAAGATGGGTGAATTTTATACAGAATAAATATGAGATTAGAAAGTATTACTTAGCTTTTGAATAACCTATGTTTAAGGGTAATGGTTAGAATCTCTGTTTTTATGTACTGGAGTTAAAGTATTTAAAATTTTGTTTTTTGGAGTATAATTCCCTTGATGTTCATTTAAGCTGTAAGTTTTTTGTTGTTTTTAACCCTGTATTCAGCTCTGGGAAGAAGGAGGGGGGGAGTGTTTTATTGTAAAACTTTAAAAATTTTCAATAAAATAAAGACCTTGGACTGTATTTCCGATTCTCTCTTTTGAAAACTGCTCAGGCAAGCTAGGAGTCAAACAGACTCCTTAAGTTTATGTTTTCTTCCTTGTTATCTCTATGGCCTTGAGTATTTTCTTATGCTAAGCAGACTGTAATTGAACCTCCTTTCAGCCAGAGTCAGCTGAAGGTGTGTGTGTGTGTGTGTGTGTGTGTGTGTGTGTGTGTTCTTGTGTTGGAGGCTTGTCAGCAAATGTGGGAGCATTTGGGGAAAATTTGGAGCAATACAAGAACTGTTTGAATTGCCAGCTGATTGCATTGCCTCTGTGCTCTGCCCTAGGTCATCACACCTACTTTTATTTGCTATTGTATAATTCAAGGCCTCATAATAATACTCTCCCCCTCTTATTTTCCCCACAACAACAACCCTGTGCGATGGGCTGGGCTGGGCTGAGAGGGAAGGACTGGCCCTAAGTCACCCAGCCGGCTTTCATACCTAAGAAAGAACTAGAACTCACAGCCTCCTGGTTTCCAGACCAGTGCTCCAACCACTACACCAGACTGTATTGACCTACGATAGCCTCTTGGTTTCAGAGCCAGGAACATCCCTCTTATACCATCTGCTTATAAATTTAGATTTCACCAAGGAACGTTCACTGGCTCACACCTTTTCAACCCCTTGCGTGAAGGTCCAAAATGGCGGCACTGTATTTATGAAGAAACAAAGACCTTCACGATTTGGAATTCCAAACCTAAAAACAACACCCGTTTTCAAGGAAAGGGCTTATGGACATCCATTACATCTCGGCTTCCAGAGTTGCAGGAAAGCTGGAATAGTTTTAAATCCATCAATTGCAATTTATCAGGAGGAAACTTTCTAAGAACTAAGCCCAGTTTGAAGGGATTACGTTCTTCGGAGGGATCTTCTCCCGTTCTCCTCATATTCTCTGAAACAGAAGATGTAAAGAAGCACCCAATCACCTGGATTTTGTTTTGTCGTGGGCAAAGAAAACACGCTGTTCCTTCACGTCTTCCCAGGTGAAACGGTCCTGTTCCCTTTCTTTCCCTTCAGCCAGGACCACCAGCCTGCCGTTGGTGGGAGGGGCCGCCACGCGAAAGAGGAGTGCTTCTCCATAGTTCTCTACGTTTTCTACTTCCACCAAGGAACCATCTAGAACTTTCAGCCCTCCGATTCCAACCAAGAGGAGGCTCTTGGCCTTGAACCCAGGAGCAGGCCCAGAAGCTAAAACCAAAGGAAGAAACAAAATTAGGCACTCTTTATTAATTACTCTGGCACAACACTCCCTCCGTAACATGTAAGGTCTCTGAACTCTGTGCACCAGTATGCAAAATCCATCAGAAATTGATGGTTAACAGGAGTCCTCAAAGGTGGAACAGACCCCTATTTTTATACTATGGCATTATAGATAGTCCTTGACATAATAGTAGTAGTAGTAGTATTACTAACCTTTTAGAGACCGAGTGCCCAAAAATCGCCCCCCGCCACCACTCCTTCTCCCGCCCCGCCCGCTCCCTGCCCCGCCCAACCGTCACGTACACCTCCATGGCCTGCCGCAGCAGATCGCCCAGGCAGCCCTGCAGCGCCATGTCAGCCACGCCCTCCGTCCACACCCCACAGCATCATCTGCACGTTACGGGGTGCGAGGGCGGAGTCTTTTCCCTGCTGCCTGCTATGTCCTTGGCTGTGCTGCTCCATGCCGGCCACGCCCGGGGCGAGTCTCCTCCAGGGGGGCTGCTGGTGAGGAGGGACCCATGGGGGGAGGTGGGGCTGGAGCAACTGCGCACATGCCCACAGAGAGGGCTCCAAGTGCCGCCTCTGGCACGTATGCCATAGGTTCGCCACCACTGCCCTATACAATTTCGGACAAATGGCTGTCCAGTCTCTTCTTAAAAACTTTCAGTGTTGGAGCATTCACTGCTTCTGGAGGCAGGTTGTTCCACTGGTTATTTGTTCTAACTGTCAGGAAGTTTCTCCTTAGTTCTAGGTTGCTTCTTCTCCTTGATTAGTTTCCATCCATTGCTTCTTGTCCTGCCTTCAGGTGCTTTGGAGAATGGCTTGACTCCCTCTTCTTTGGGGCAGCTCCTGAGATATTGGAACACAGCTATCATGTCACCCCTTGTCCTTCTCTTCGTTAAGCTAGACATACCCAATTCCAGCAACCATTCCTCATATGCTTTAGCCTCCAGTCCCCTAATTATCTTTGTACTCTTTCTAGAGTCTCAACATTATGACCATTCGTTTAGCGACTGTTTGAGTTTACAACGGTAAAGTTACTTACGACGTCTTCGCATTTGCAGGTAGCCCTCGACTTATGACCACAATTAAAGCCCAAAATTTCTATTGCTAAGCAAGACACTTGTTAAGTGAGTTTTGCCCCATTTTACAAAGCTTCTTCTACCATACAGTTGTTAAGTGAATTATTGCAATTAGTGACACAGTTTAAGTGTCAATGGCTTCCCCATTGAATTTGGCTGTCAGAAGGTCACAAAAGGGGATCACATGACCCCCGGGATACGGCAACCATCATGAATATGAGACAGTGGGCAAGCATCCAAATTTTGATCATGTCAACCTGGGGATGCTGCAAAGGTCATAAATGGTGAAAAACATTCATAAGTCACTTTTTTCAGTGCCATTGTAACTTTGAATGGTCACTAAACGAATGGTTGTAAGTGAAGGACTATCTCTGCGGCTGTCCCAGTATCCCCGTGGTCACATGATCAAAATTTGGGCACTTGGCAACCGGCATGTATTTACAACTATTGGAGTATTCCGAGGTCAACCTTTGCAGGTGGCTTCCAAAGAAGCAAAGTCAATGGGGGAGCTGGATTCATTTAACGACCGTGTGATTCACTTAACCACAGTAGCAAAAGTCGTAAAATCAGGCAAGACTCCCTTAAGAACCACCTTCCTTAGCAAGGGAAAATTCTGGCTCCATTTGTGATCATAAGGACAAATACGTTACTCAATTTAAGTTGACCTGTCATTCATGGATAAGGTTTCTATCGAATGTTCTATCTTCCCCTCATCATTTTAATAGTTTCGAATTTACATTAATCAGAATCTTTACTGTATTGTTTGTAACACTACATAGCCTCTGGTTAGTAATGTTACTTTTCAGGCATTCGTCATAGTTTACATTTTACTGACACGACTCTTTCTGTTGGAACGATGGTTGATACTTTTATGCATTCATATTGCCTTATCAAATTCAAAATATAATCTGAATTTGAATATGGGGGGACAAAAAGAGAGCCAGAATCTCAAGAAGAAATTTCTAGCAGTTTAAAAATAGCCAGAATGCTTCAGGAGAAAGAGGAAAGAATACGTAGGGAGGCATAAAATCAATGTTAGTGAACATCCTCCTTTATTAGATCAATATTGTAACGGTAAAGATATATTTCTGTTTAAAATGCTTTATGGTTCTAAATTTCTCTCAAAGAATTCTCAGAGCTGTAGTTTGCAGAAAGTCAGAAAATTTCCTCTAAAATTTTTCCCCGCAGGAATATAATGCCAAGTTTCTTCAAACTGATAATACGCAACCTAATAAATCATCATGTGTTCGGAGGCCCTTCAGCAAGTGTTAGCGCATGGACCTAGTCACCATGGATTACAAGTCATGGTTTATATCTTAGTGTACTGTATGTATTCAAGCTTGATTTATTCCGGGGGGGTCTCCAAACGTGACAACTTTTAAGGCTTGTGGACTTCGATTCCCATAATTCCCCAGGTAGCCATGCTGGCTAGTGAATTCTGGGAGTTGAAGTCCACAAGTCTTAAAGTGGCCAAGTTTGGAGACCCCTGGTTTTTAATCCAACAAACCATGATTGAGGATAAACTGTAGTTCAGAGTGTAGTGTGAACCCAGCCCTATGCCTGGGAGGCAGATAAACGCTGCTCACTAATTTGCGGCCTTGTAAAATTGCTGTTTTGTTTTTTCATCTTAAAAATGGGAAACTGCAGCTGACGCAGATTGTCGTATAATGGGCGGAGGGGAAACTCACATTTGCACTGCCGATTTTGGGGGTCGTTGTAGAAGCCACGCCCACAGTCAGCGACACAAAGGCCTTTCTGAAGGAACGTACTGGAATTACAGACGCGGCAGCTGGTGGAACCATCACACTCCAAGCATCCCTGGGGGCAAGCTAGCATGAAAGGAAAAGCGAGATTCCAGGATAAGCATTTTTAACCGAGAAAACAAGGTCACCGTTATGTAACTCCTTTACTGATAGTCAAGGAAACTTAACTTTGAACACGGTTGCCACGAGGCTTGATGTGGCCGAAATCTGAAGGCTAATTGAAACAGCCACCTATTTTAGCTGCAATCAGATATCAACAATGTGAAGTTAACGAGCCTTCAGTCACTCATGCCCTGGTCATCTCGCGTCTGGACTACTGCAACGGGCGCTACACGAGGCTACCTTTGAAGAATATTCGGAAGCAACAGCTGGTACAGAATGCAGCTGCTTTACAGTTCTAGGGACCCCCTGTGGTGGCCCACATAACACCCGTTGTGTGAGCTGCACTGAGGGCCAGTTTGCTTGTGGGCCCCATTCAGTCAATTGGAATGGAGCTGGAAGGGACCTTGGAGGTCTTCTAATCCAACCCCCTGCTCAAGTAGGAGATCCTATACCAGTGATGGCGAACCTTTTAGAGACCGAATGCCCAAACTGCAACCCAAAACCCACTTATTTATTGCCAGGTGCCAGGTGGGCGTGGCTGTGGTCATGGCAGATTGGGTGGGTGTAGCCAAGGTGGGTGTAATCACCTCAATGTTCCTCATGGGGAGGGACGCCTGTGGGGGCCGGGCAGGGTTGGGGGAGATCCAGGGGGTCTCTGGCAGGTGGGGCGGTGGGCAGGAGGCTCGTCCTGCGGGGTGAAGCGAGGCAAGGCAAGGCAGGGTGGGGGTGCCATTGTCACAGGGCAAGGTGAGGCAGGGGCCGGGGTGGCTGCTGCCTGACACCATCGGCCCCCCCACACAGAGGCCAGCGAGCGCATGCGGCCATGTGGGACCTCGGCGAGTTAGCGGGCAGCTGGTTGAAAAGGGATGGTTGCCATCTCCAGGGCATGGCGCGTGTGCCCACAGAGAGGGCTCTGAGTGCCGCCTCTGGCACACTTGCCATAGGTTCGCCACCACTGTCCTATACCATTTCAGACAAGTGACTGTCCAGTCTCTTCTTAAAAACTTCCAGTGATGAAGCACCCACAACTTCTGAAGGCAAGCTCTTCCACTGGTTAATTGTTGTCACTGTTAGGAAGTTTCTCCTTAATTCCAGGTTGCTTCTCTCCTTGATTAGTTTCCATCCGTTGTTTCTTGTCTTCCTCAAATATTGGAAGGCTGCTACCATATCTCCCCTAGTCCTTCTTTTCTCTAGATTAGCCAAACCCAAATCCTGCAACCGTTCTTCCTATGTTTTTCCCTCCAGGCCCTTAATCAACCTGGTGATTTATTTGGATTCTGGAGCTGGATGTTGACACATACATTATTAGCTAGAACTTTTGGAGGGATGGAAGGATGGGGATCATCTATCTAGGATCATCTATCTAGCCTAATCATAATCTTTTCCAAAAGTTCCCAAAGATATCATGCACTGAATTTGCTTAATTGTGGAGTTATCATTCCAACTGAATACAAAGTACAGGACTTCTACTGAGTTTTTTCTATAACATGTTCCACAATTCAATTTTTTTTTTAAAAAAAAAAGGTTTGGTTTTATTTAAATGAGGCATGATTGTTGGAATAATGATGGGCACCAAAGATATTTAACTTTTAATGCACTAATTCATTTACCTAGGCATATCTGCCCTCCACCGTCTCCGTAGAACTGCTTTCCACAAGACAAGACACAACGGGATTCCAGGAGCAGGAACGGAGCTTGGCAGCGCACGCATTTCCCAGGACCATCACACTGGAGGCAGCGGTCATCATCACATTCTGAAAAGCCCCGTAAGAAACTCAGAAAGGAGTGCTTCCCAAATTACACAGGACACAGCAATTCATTTTATGCTTTTCTCACCCCCCTGAGAAACCAGGACTGCAAACACAATCAGATACTAGATCAGTGGTTCACAACCTTTTTAATGCCGCGACCCCCCAACCGGTCGTAAGTCGAGGACTACTCAACCAGTCGTAAGTCGAGGACTACTCAACCAGTCGTACGTCGAGGACTACTCAACTGGTGCAGCACGGTTTGCAGACTGGGACTTTGGGCGGGCTCAGCAGGGCAGAGACAGCCTGGACAATTCCTATTGGCTTTTGAAAGCCAATAGAATTAGACTCTATTCAAGAGAGTCTATTCCATTGGCTTTCAAAAGCCAATCGAATAAAAGGGAGTAGCACAGCTAAGGAAAAGGGGGGAAAAAATGGCGGACTGCGTTGTTGGCGACCCCCGTGAAATGGTCGTTCGACCCCAAATGGGGTCCCGACCCACAGGTGGAGAACCATTGTACTGATGAAAAAAATGGTAAAGATAAGCTCTTTACAGTCTGATGACTGCAACTCTGAAGATTTCTTAGCAGCTTTATGGAAGTCAATTGACACTCAGTTTTCAATAAGTTTCAAATTTTCAGTATCTCCCATTCAAATCCCAGTCAACACCAATGCCGTACTTTGCCTCAGTTCCACTGCAGTGTTGCTTTGGGCTCACTAATTCTAAGACTCTTGGTGCTCTCTGCACTTGGTTGTTGATCCAAGCTCAGAGAACACCAAGGACTCCAGAATTCAATCCACAGACCCATTCTGTTCTATAGCAAATAATTTATTCCTGGCTTACCTAGCTTCCAAGATTCTCCCTGTTGGCATTAGAAAACGAGCTAATTTGTTCCCTTGAGACATCCTCAAGTGCCTTCTTATGCTACATAGCAGGGGTCCTCAACCTTGGCAACTTTAAGACTTGTGGACTTCAACTCCCAGAATTCCCAAAGCTGGCTGAGGAATTCTGGGAGTTGAAGTCCACAAGTCTTAAAGTTGCCAAGATTGAGGACCCCTGCTATATATCATCCACGCCATCCTTCCCAACTTGATGTCTTCCAGATGTACTAAGACTACAGCTTCAAGGAATTCCAGGTAGTATGAGTGGTAATATTTGGAGTTGTCCTAACATACTTGAAGGATGGCAGATTTGGGAAAGCTGGTAAGACCGATTCCCTACTTTATGTATATAAACCGAAGGGGAAAGCACATGATAGTTTTAGTCCATGTGATGATGGAGATCCAGGGCAATCTTGGTTCCTCCCTAGGGAAACATCCTATCAAACTTGACCAGAGATGGAGTAGCAGCCTGTTGCCTGAGATAGGAGAGGAATCCATTGCTCTCCCAACTCTGCTGCTACATCCCATTGTCTGCATTACCATTCAACCTAAGAAGAGCTACTTAATGATACATCGCTTAGAGCAGTGGTTCTCAACCTTTTTAATGCCGCGACCCCCAACCGGTCGTAAGTCGAGGATTACTCAACCGGTCGTAAGTTGAGGACTACTCAACTGGTGCAGCACCATTTGCAGAATGGGACTTTTGGCGGGCTCAGCAGGGCAGAGACAGCCTGGACAATTCCTATTGGCTTTTGAAAGCCAATAGAATGAGACTCTATTCAAGAGAGCCGATTCTATTGGCTTTCAAAAGCCAATAGAATAAAAGGGAGTAGCACAGCTAAGGAAAAGGGAAAAAAAATGGCGGACTGCGTTGTTTGGCGACCCCCGTGAAATGGTCGTTCGACCCCAAATGGGGTCCCAACCCACAGGTTGAGAACCACTGGCTTAGAGAATTCCCATGTGAGCTTTAAGGCGACATAGACAGCATCACCCAACTCTTGAAGGCCACATCCTTTGCAGCTCCTCCTCCGAGTGACAGGCCAGGTCAGTGGTGGCGAACGTATGGCACGGGTGCCAGAGACGGCACTCAGAGCCCTCTCTGTGGGCACACGCGCCATCACCCCAGTCCTAGGCCTTCAGCTGGGTTTTATAAAACCTTTTCGCTTTAGGCCTCCACCGCCATGTGCAAAAAAAAAAAAAAGGTTCAATCAGTCAATTTCAACTTCTCATGGGAAAAAAAAAGATCTTGCAAAGTTGGAATTGATTGATTGAACTTTTTAGTCCCACCCAGTCTGCCATTACCACAGCAGCCACGCCCACCCAATGGGCCATGCCCACCCAATGGGCCACACCCACCCGGCACTCGATGATGCGTAAGTGGGTTTGGGATTGCAGTTTGGGCACTTGGTGTCTAAAAGGTTCGCCATCACTGGGCCAGGTAAAGGCCTGGAAAACACTTTTCCACTTGCCTTGGCTACTTATTGAGCTGGGCCTTTGGAGAGATTACCTATCCAATGAAAGATTACAATAGTCTCAACGTACAACCACAACGGAGTCTGAAATTTCTTTTGCTACGCAAGACATTCATTAAATGAATTTTCCCCGTTATATGATCTTTCTTGCCACAGTTATTAAGTGAACCACCGCAGTTGTTCAGTTAGCAACATGGTGGTTAAGTGAATCTGGTTTCCCCATTGACTTCGCTGGTCAGAAGGTCACAAACGCTCAAATCACATGACTCCGGGATATTGCAACCGTCATGAGTCAGTGGCCAAGCGTCCAAAATCTGATCATGTGACTGTGGGGATGTGGCAAAGGTCGTAAGTATGAAAAATGATCACAAGTTGCTTTTTTTCAATGCTGTTGTAACTTCAAACGGTCATTAAATCTACGGTTGTAAGTCGAGGAGTACCTGTAGTGCAGGGGTCCCCAACCCCCGGTCCGTGGACCAGTACTAGGCTGTGGCATGCCAGTAACCGGTCCGCACAAAAAAGCAAAGCCCCATTCATGGGATGCAGGCAACACACAAACCACGCACCCTCCAGTCTGCGGAAAAACCTCTCTTCCTGATGCCCCAAAAGGTTGGGGACCTCTGCTGTAGTGTATTTCTTTAAAACAGCCAACTGTTTATTGTGTTTTCTGAACTACGCCCTCTCAGATAATTGCACAAAATTGTATCTTAAGTCCCTGTGCCAAGACATCAAGACTTACTTTGACACGTTTCCGATTCCCTGTAAAATCCCGGCAGACAATGCTCAACGCAAGCTCCTTGCTGGAGGAAATATCCCTCCATGCACTGCAGGCAATCCGTGCGGTTGGGACCGTGGCAAACGTTACAGCTCCAGTCGCACTCTGGAATAAGACAATAAAAGAGAGGGTTTCCCACAGAGCCATCTTGGTCTCCCTTTATACCTCTCTGATCTCATCCATCACATCACTACTGTCTACAAACACACTGAAGGGCAGAGGAAGAACAGAGAGAACATATGTAGGACCCAGGAAGAAACGCCAAAAGAGATGGTCTTAAAATAACACAAAATTCTTCCCTGGAGTTTCACATTTCCCAGTTATGTTAACGCAGGCACAGCTGCTCTTTTTTCAGCAGTCCAAATGAGGAGATGCTCCATCTATCCTCCCTAGTGGCTAGAGCGATGATCAGCCCACGTGGGCTGCACCGTGAAGTAATAATAATGATAATAATATTAATACTAATAATAATAATAATAAAAGTTGGAAGGGACCTTGGAGGTCATCAAGTCCAACCCCCTGCTCAGCAGGTAACCGTATACCATTTCGGACAAATGACTGTCCAGTTTCTTCTTAAAAACTTCCAGGGTTGGAGCATTCACCACTTCTGGAGGCAGGTTGTTCCACTGGTTAATTGTTCTAACTGTCAGGAAGTTTCTCCTTATTTCTAGGTTGCTTCTCTCCTTGATTAGTTTCCACCCATTGCTTCTTGTCCTGCCTTCAGGTGCTTTGGAGAATAGCTTGACTCCCTCTTCTTTGGGGCAGTCAAGATATTGGAACACTGCTATCATGTTCCCCCTCATCCTTCTCTTTGTTAAACTAGACATACCCAATTCCAGCAACCATTCCTTATATGTTTTAGCCTCCAGCCCCCTGATCATCTTTGTTGCTCTTCTCTGTACTCTTTCTAGAGTCTCAACATCTTTTTCATATCGTGGTGACCAAAACTGGATGCAGGATTCCAAGTGTGGTCTTACCAAGTCATAAATCTTTTTTCTCTCTCACCAAGACATGTGGGATTCCCCACAAACCCTGCTAATTAGACAGGCCAGATTGACAAGGAAGATGACATTGACTTGCAGTTCATTTTCAGAAAAGAATGTGGCTAATAAGTGGTTCATCGGACGACCACAAGGTCCTCCATCTCGCTTTCTACTCCAGAAGGAAAAGGATCGGTCTGAAGAAAAGGGTATAATAACCGGGCAAGGTGAAGAAAGGAATCTAAACTGTGATTAGGCCGACTTGGCATTTATATATTGCTAATCAATGGATTTGGGGGACTCTTCCTGGTGCCCCAAAAGGTTTATAAGACACTGACACTGACTGCTTATGAAGTAGAAGAGATGGGATGAGAGATAAGCAAATAGAAGTGGTGGTGAAGAGAAAAAAAATTAAGAAATACAGATACAGTTCTGTTCAAACAGAATCTACAGCCATTTTCTGTAGCCTCCTGAGCAGTTTCCCAACCTGGATAATTTTAAGAGGTGTGGACTTCAACTCCCAGAATTCCCCATCCAGTATAGCTGGCAGGGGAATTCTGGGAGTTGAAGTCCACACCTCTTAAAATTGTCCAGGTGGAGCAACACTAATCCAGAATTTCCACTGGTTCTTCTGAACAAAATGAACGGGACACTTTTCCAACTCATGAGGTAATCCTAAAATAAAGGTACCATTCAACTTACAACCAAAATGGGGACCAGACTTTATGTTGCTAAGCAAGGCGATTTATTGTTAAGAGTGTTATGCCTGATTTTATGATCTAAAATCATGCTTGGTAAGGAAATCACTGCAGTTAAATGAATCGTGTGGCCATTAAACAAATTTTGGCTTCCCCCATTGACTTCGCTTGCCAGAAGCCAGCTGGGAAGGTCCCAAATGGCGGTCATATGACTCTGGGACACTGCCACCATTGTAAATGCATGCCGGTTGCCAAGCGCCCACGTTTTGATCACGTGACCATGCCTATGCTGGGAGGGTTGAAACTGTGAGGACCAGTTTTAACGCACTTCTTTCAGTGCTGTTCTAACTTTGAACGGTCACTAAATGAAGGGTTGAGGCCTGCTTATACTTTAAACAGCATCCAATTTCGAAAGAAAGAAAGAAAGAAAGAAAGAAAGAAAGGAAGGAAGGAAGGAAGGAAGGAAGGAAGGAAGGAAGGAAGGAAGGAAGGAAGGAAGGAAGGAAGGAAGGAAGGCAGGCAGGCAGGCAGGCAGGAAGGAAGGAAGGAAGGAAGGAAATTAAATGAAGAAAGGAAAGGAAAGGAAAGGAGAATAAAAATTCCACCGCTTGTCCACTCCACACCTTCCTAGTTTCTGTCTTGTTCCCTGCAACTCTTTGAAGCAGAAAATTCATATATATCAAGAAAACAGAGAAAATAAAAACGGGTTCCCATCAGAAAAGAAGATGCCTACAGAAATTGCTCTTTTGGCCAAGAGAAAATGGGGGAGAAGATATGAATGGGAGGAGGAGGAGGAAGTGCTGGTAATGGTCTTTAGAGAGCTACTCGCCTGCTCTGCTTTTTGGAAGACAGGGGTAAAAATTCTCTCTCTTGATAAGGAGCTATGATAAGCAGAAGTGCAGAGAAGTTTTTTGGATCTCTCTGCCAAATCCTCAGCCTTTCACCTAGGATAGCTTATCTCAGCCCCTACAATACCCACATGGAATGTCAATTCAACGCTATTATTTTAATATCTGGTTGAGTAAATATTATCACAGCACACCAGGATGGAAACAATCCAATGCACTTTTTCTAACTGAAAAGCACAAAGGTTTATGCTTTGGATTCTCAATCATCCAGGTCATGGTGGTGCCAAAGGTGCTTCTCAAAAGGCAAGTGGACTTTCTTGGGATTTTTTCCCCTTGAAAGCATTTTGCTTCTCGTCCAAGAAGCTTCTTCAGTTCTGGAGAAGGAGGTCGCTGGATGGTGAATTTCGATGAGAGCAAAATTAAGGGGTTCCTGGAATTTGTGCCTAGGTCAATTTTCGATCCCTTGGCCCCACTTCCCATCTTCGACCGTCTAGAGTGAATTCTAGATCCTGTTTTGTTCCAACGTCTTCATTTCCTGAGCTAGCAAAGTCATGAATAAAAGAAGCCCTTATTAATCAGAGGTTCTGCTCCTTATTTTCATCATGTTGAAATCTTGACCTTGATTGTTAAAAAGGGAATCAGATCAGTCGGTCTCAGAGTAGCTAATTATGAGATAGATCACTAAAGAAGATGGAAAGAATTTCCCTTGGATAATATATTTATAATGCAATTTTGTTCAGGTTAGAAAAGGGCAAGACCCCAATCTTCTTCTGACAGTTGATTTTTTTTTTCTTGGAACAAGACACCAGGACTTGGCTGGCTCTCTTGGTGGGTCTTCAAGGACCTCTACTGAAGGACAATTGCAACATTTCCAGCAAATATATATGAAACCAGTTGAGTTTTAATCTATAAAACCGGTTAACCCAGTTTGGTGTAGTGGTTAAGGTGCTGCCCTAGAAACCAAGAGACTGTGAGTTCCAGTTCTGCCTTAGGCATGAAATCCGGTTGGGTGACTTTGGATCAATCACCAGGAGAGAGTGAGTTCCAGTTCTGCCTTAGGCATGAAATCCGGTTGGGTGACTTTGGATCAATCACCAGGAGAGAGTGAGTTCTAGTCCTGTCTTAGGCATGAAAGCTGGCTGGGTAAGTTTGGGCCAATGACTAGGAGACAATGAGTTCTAGTCCTGTCTTAGGCATGAAATCCGGTTGGGTGACTTAGGGTCAATCACCAGGAGACCTAGTCCTGCCTTAGGCATGAAAGTTGGCTGGGTGACTTTGGATCAATCACCAGGAGAGAGTGAGTTCTAGTTCTGCCTTAGGCATGAAATCCGGTTGGGTGACTTTGGATCAATCACCAGGAGAGAGTGAGTTCTAGTCCTGTCTTAGGCATGAAAGCTGGCTGGGTAAGTTTGGGCCAATGACTAGGAGACAATGAGTTCTAGTCCTGCCTTAGGCATGAAAGCTGGCTGGATAAGTTTAGGCTAATGACTAGGAGACAATGAGTTCTAGTCCTGTCTTAGGCATGAAATCCGGTTGGGTGACTTAGGGTCAATCACCAGGAGACGCTGAGTTCTAGTCCTGCCTTAGGCATGAAAGTTGGCTGGGTGACTTTGGATCAATCACCAGGAGAGAGTGAGTTCTAGTTCTGCCTTAGGCATGAAATCCGGTTGGGTGACTTAGGGTCAATCACCAGGAGAGAGTGAGTTCTAGTCCTGTCTTAGGCATGAAAGCTGGCTGGGTAAGTTTGGACCAATGACTAGGAGAGAGTGAGTCCTAGTCCTGCCTTAGGCATCAAAGCCGACTGGTTGATTCTGGGTCAATCACCAAAGGACCGGGAATTCTAATTCCGCCAATCACACTCTCTCAACTCAACTCACTTCACAGGGTTGTTGTTATGGGAAAAAGAGGAGGGGGAAGGAGTACAATGTATGTTCACGGCCTTGAGTTACTTATAAAAGTAATAAAAATGGGACAAAAAATCTAATAAATAAATGAACCAATATTAAGGAGAAGAGGTAACTGAAGGATTAGCAAAGTTAAAATCATTCAACTTTCAACTGACCACTGAGCAGAGCAAACAACAGCAAACCCTTGGCCAGAATTTACCCACGGCAGCAAGAACGTGTGTGTGTGAATGTCATGTACAGGTAGTCCTTGACTTATGACAACAATGGAGCCCAAAATTACTGTGGCCAAGCGAGACAGCTGTTAAGTCAGTTTTGCCCCTTTTTACGACTTCCCTTGCCACAGTTGTTAAGTCAATCAATAGGTGTTAAGTTAGTAACACAGTTGTGAAGTGAATCTGGCTTCTCCCATTGATTTTGTTTGTCAGAAGGTCACAAAAACGGGATCACATGACCCCAAGACATTGCAACTATCATAAGAAAGTTGCCAAGTGACTAAATGTTGGGGATGGTGCAATGGCTGTAAGTGTGCAAAACGGTCACAAATCACGTTCTTTGGTGCTGTTGTAACTTTGAACAGTCACTAAATGAACTGTTGTAAATCGAGGACTACCTATACGTGGGTGCACCCGGGTATCTGCTGAATGGGAGACAGAACTGAAAAGAAAAGGCTTCAATATGGCAGGAGACAGGCAGTTAGGGAAGAGACCACAAGGGTGGGCTCCACGCAGACCATTAAAACGTGGCTGATCACTGTTATTCAGACTCAACATGAACATTTTTGAGATTCCCTTCACCTCTGCACATCCTGGTAGACAAATCGAGGAAATATTGTGATGGACATTTGTCATATTGGCACTCTCCAAATAGTAAGACTTTAGATGGGTCTTTGCAAGAAGTACAGTGGGATCTTGAATCACAGCTTAGACACGGGTCACTGCAAGCTGGAGAGAAAAATAAAACATCAAGACTGATTAGATTTCGCATTAAGAACTGAAGCTATAAGGGTTAAAGAAAATTTCAAAGAACACTTCAGACTTCTTTCTATGGGGACAGTTTTTTTTTTAATCATTTCTGTATTGCAACTTGTAATACAGAAACGATTTTTAAAAACACAAATTACTGAGCTACATCATATATAAAATACTTGGGATATGTCAAAGAATTATGAAAAGTAGAAGTGCACCATTTAAATAAGTCCAAGTTTTTCCTTTTATCATTGACCAACATAGCAAAGTCATAGCACAGCAGACAATCCGGAGCCAAAAATTAACCTTCATTTTCATTTCTTTCCTTAAACCGTGAACCTGATTTTCTCCCTATGTAATAATACATTTCTTCTTTGGGTACATTCAAAATTAAATGCTGGCAGCTTTAAAACGGGTGGACTTGAAATCCCAGAATTCCCCAGCCAGCATGGTTGGTTGAGGAATTCTGGGAGTTGAAGCCTACACCTCTTAAAGTTGCCACGGTTGAGAAACTTTGGTGCAGGGGTTCTCAACCTTGGCAACTTTAAGACTTGTAGACTTCAACTCCCAGAATTCCTCAGCCAGCAAATTCTGGGAGTTGAAGTCCACAAGTCTTAAAGTTGCCAAGGTTGAGAACCCCTGCTTTGGTGTAACCCAACCTCTTTAGGAGACATCATAATAAGGGAAGGCATTCATACTGATGATAACAAACTCAATGAAATAGCCTCACCCAATAGTTGTACGTAAATGTTAAATAGAAAGAGGGAGAGCATCAAACTCTCAGGCACCACACAAGTGAGGGATCATAGGTGTGATTTCTCCCCTCCTACTCAATACTGACTGGAACAGACTACTGAGAAAGGAGGTGAACCACTGCTCCAGAGTTTTTCCTGACATGCTCGATTTGCATCTACAAGGGAAGGTTGACAGAGGGCCATATTTAAACATAAACATAAGAGTTCATTTGAAAGCAATGAAGATCCGAGTGTAGGAGATGACCAGGCTGAGCCGGAGGGAGGGGTCAAACGCGTCATCAGTCTTGAGTCCCTTCGCACCCACAAGAGATCGAAATCCAGCCCACCTTGAATTCCGTTGACTAAAGGCCAATTCACTTTGGCCTTTAGTTAATTCAGATTCTCGTAGAGAGCTTAAGCTTGCAATAAATCTTTATACCCATTTGAATTGCATGGATCTTCTGATTTTCCTGATGCTTGATACCCACAAATCTATAGCAACACTTTAACATAGAGTTCCTCAAACGTGGCAACTCTAAGAAGTGTGGACTTCAACTCCCAGAATTCCCTAGCGAGCCCTGGCTGGTTGGGCAATTCTGGGAGTTAACACCCACACATCTTAGACTTTCAAGGTTGAGAAACACTGCTTTAACAGATTAATTAACGGGATAGATCAAACAAGAATGGAACTCTTTGAGTTAATACAGCTTCAAAGTGATCACAGTCAAAAACTAAACCTCCTTCTTCACTAACTTTCTTCCTTTAAGTTTAAGGACACACAATTCCAGGCTGCCTGCCCACTTCTCTCAATCCAATCCATCCTATAATATCACTTGTATCTAATTTTCTATGCTATGGCATCTCATTTCACTTTATCAATTCCAGAGAGTGTCACAAGGCTTAATTAATTAACAACTGTAACATTAAGAAGATATGTGGATTAACAGAGCGAAGAAATGGCTAATAATGAGATGTATTACCATTTACAAACTTCAAATATACCAGTGACATATTATTCAAAACGGTGGCATAAAAGCAATATAAAATGTACAGTGTAAGCTACTTAGATTTGACTGGGATGCACATTTACTAGAACTACTTGATATGAATCTTTGGGATTCACAGCAAGGCTGTGTTTTTTTTTTGTTTTGTTTTTTTTGCAATCTCTTTTAACTGTATCTCTCTCAGCCTATTGTACAATGTACTACACTAAACATCTTGATTAAGGCTCACCTCTTAATTTTAGTTGGATTTTTCTCTTTTCTGTTCTACGGGAGTCAAGGTAAGGACAATTTAACATGTCTCAAACATGGAAATGTCCTAAAGCAGAGGTCCCCAACCTTTTGGGCGCCAGGGACCGGTTCCAGGGAGAGACGTTTTTCCGCGGACCAGAGGTGGCGTGGTTTTGTGTGCTGCCTATATCCCGCAGATGGGGCTTTGTTAGTTTGTGCGGACCGGTTGCTGGCATGCCGCGGACCGGCACTGGTCCACAGACTAGGGATTGGAGATCCCTGTCCTAGAGAAATCATAATGCAATTTGCTTGGTTTGAATTAGTGTATTGTATGAACTCGGCCACTGTAGCTTTTGAACCAGAAATGTACACTTTAGTGCGGTATTTCTCAACCTTGACGGCTTTAAGACCTGTGGACTTCAACTCCCAGCAAATTCTGTTGCTTGATTTCCCAGTCGACCTTGTAACATTCCACCCAACCAGCCATAACTCTACTTAAGCTCCCAATCCCAAAACAACATCAAACCACCTACAGACCTCCACCTGCTAAGTCTTTTGAAGTCATTCAGAACCTACAAGCATTTTCCATTTCCTTATCCCCCCTCGCGGGATGGGATAACTACCTGTGGCCAGCTTGCCGCAGCCAATCCGCCGTGGTCAACTTGCTGCAGGACAACTTTGGCCAACTCAACACGGGACAACTCACTGCGGGATTCACTTAGTCCCTCATAGTTTTGTTGACCACCTTTTGGTCAAAATTGTTTTAACCTCTTGCATCAAATGAAATCATTCCCATGCTCGCCAGCTTCTATAATGCGTGAATGAATAATAAAATAAACTAATTGTCCTGAATTGTCCTGCAGCAAGTTGGCTATAGCAAGTTGTCCTACACACACACACACACACACACACACACACACACACAGAGAGAAAGAGAGAGAGAGAACACCGACTTCTCTAAAACATTGTCCCAAATAAAACTGAGAAACTGAGGCACCACGTACGCTTGCAATGAAGGTTCTCATCCTGAAAGAATCCCAGGGAACAGGCCGAGAGGCATGAGCCAGCGTGAGAAAGGACGAGGCTGAGGTCACAGGAAGTGCAGGAGAAAGGGCCTTCTCCTGTGCAGGTTTTACAGGAAGGATGACACTCTGGAAGGGAAGCAGTAGACAAAAGCATTGAAAATGCAGACTGTCAAGCTCCATGTGTCATGGTTCTGACAGATGAAACTCTTCAAAGAACTTTAAAGCATTGTTTACTTTAAAGAATCTTTATTTGAGAAGCATGGCATCAGGACTAACACCGGTAGAAGCCAAAAACTGGATTCCCCTTCCCTGAGCCCATAGTATCAAAGCACAGTTCACTCCTCCAATTAACAGTCATAAATCACATTCTTCAATTATTTTGAAATGCAGGCTTTCCCTCCAGTTCTCCAGCCCGCCAGTTCTTATCATCTCTTATTTCATTAATCTTGGCTCATATACTAAGTCCAGTATTATTATGTCTATCTAAACTCTCATGCACCATCCTCCCCCCAGCATCATCTAACTCTTGTCAAAGCAAAAACATCCGATGTTAGCAGCGTTGACACCATGCCTAGGTAACAAGAAATGTGTTGGACTGGAAAAGAATGTCGAAAACTCCACTCAGCTGTGAAATAGTGAGATTCTTCTTCTCTAAACTATCCTTACAGAATTCTCACAAAAAATAATATTACAGATAGTCCTCGATTTATACCAGTTCATTTAGTGACCGTTCAAAGTTACAATGGCAGTGAATGAAGTGATTTATGACTGTTTTTCATACTTACGACCGTTGCAGCAACCCTGTGGCATGTGATCAAAATTCAAGACTCATATTTATGACAGTTGCGGCATCCTGGGTTTATGTATCCCCCTTTTGCGATCTTCTGACAAGCAAAGTCAACGGGGGAAGCCAGATTCACTTAACCACCGTATTGCTAACTTAACAACTGCAGTGATTCACTTAACAACGGTGGCAAGACAGGTGGTAAAATGGGGCAAAATTCACTTAACAAATGTCTCACTTAACAACAGAAATTTTGGGCTCAATTGTGGTCGTAAGCTGAGGACTACCTGTTTGCCCTCATCCCGCTCCCTTAGACAACAGAACACAATATGTATCAACAATAACAATTATTTGCCCCAAAACTAAAAGGTTCTGGTCAAGAATACACTTATGGTTAGAGGAAATGACAAAAAAAATCATATAGATTTTAAGCCAGAATTATTTTTGTTAGGCATAATGATAGGAAATTATGAGAAAGAGTGCATATATCTAATTTTACATGGATTAACTGCAGCAAGAATTGTATTCGCTCAACATTGCAAAAATGAAGATTTACCAACGGAGGAAGCGTTAATTAAAAAAAATTTAGGTGGTGCAGAAATGGATAGATTGACATTGAAAATGAAAGAGAAAGAAGATTCAGTATACTTTATGGGATGGATGGGATACCTTTTATCAATGGTTAGTAAAATGTGGTAGAGAGAAAGGAATTTAACATGTATTAGTAAGTTAAATGTTGGAACTTAGACAATGTGTTGCTGATAACATATTAAGCACTTCTGATTATAAAAAAATATCTATCTATCTATCTATTCTAGACAGACATAGGTAGAGATAGAGATGGATGGATGGATGGATGGATGGATGGATGGATAGATAGATAGATAGATAGATATAGAGATAGATAAAAGCAATAACAATGATAGATAGATAGATAGATAGATAGATAGATAGATAGATAGATAGATAGATAGATAGATAGATAGAGATAGAGATATATAAAAGCAATAACAATTATTGTTATTCCAGAATGGACAGGCACTCTGACTGTTTCCATTCTCTTTAACTTTACCTGGGATTAATTTGGATAGTTATTAATTATAGTTTCACCCAAAACATTATGAATGCAGTTTCTGCCCAATTGGTGACTAGAATGTCTCAATCCACTCTATCATCTCTGCTGGCAGTGAGAATAGCAACAGATGAAGAGATATTGCAGCATTCAGATTCCCAATTATCTTCCATTAGAATGCTACCAATTTCCTCAGGTGTTTGTTTGGAACTTGGCCTGAATCAAAGCACGTTTATTTATTTATTTACTTATTTTCACCCTGCCTTTATTATTTTTATAAGCAACTCCAGGGGGTGAAGATACCTAATAATCCTTTCTCCTTGTTATACAGGTAGTCCTTGAGTTACGACCATAACGGAACTCCACAATGATGGTTGTTAAGTCCAGAGGGTTATAAAGTGTGCCACCAGGTAACCAGACCTGACTTTACAACCTGTTTTGCAGCGTTCGTCAAGCAAACCCAACCGCCGTAAAGCCAATGCTGCAGTCATTAAGTGAACTCAGTGTTCGCTGTGGGGCGGGGTTTGCTGGAAACCGGAAGTACATTTCCCTCCCCCCCAAAATGTAATTAATTGTCATGGGGCCGCAGGCCATAAATGTGGTCATGTGATCTGGGGGGGGGGCTGATGTCGGAACCTCAAATCTGTGTCGTAAGTAGCTTTTCAGGGGGTCTGTCGTAACTTCAAGCAGTCACTAAGTGGCTGGTTGTAAGTCGAGGACTATCTGTTGGGAACTACCCATCACTCCAACGCAACCATTTATCCATGGAAGGAGTGATCTTCGGCCCAAATTTTCCCAATTGCGTCCCTCTGACTGTGTCGCAATTGTGTCCCAGTCAACATGGCCCAAGAATAGACATTCTGCGGGGGCTGCAGCCCCCAGTGCATTTGGATGCTGGCAGGGCTCAGGTTTCTGGCTGGAACTGTTCAACTGGACTTAAGTGAATGGGTTAGCAGGAATGAAGAGAATGTAAACTATCAATGGATATGCTGAGAGCTGAAGATAAAAGGAAGCCTTGGAAAAGGAAAGTCACCTCTTTATATTTATTTTTTACAAATAACTCCAGGCAACAAACTTATCCAACACAGCTTCCTCCTCCTATTTTCCCCACAACAGTAACTGTGTGAGGTGAATTGGACTGAGAGAGATACAGAGACAGAGAAAGTGACGGACCCAGGGTGTGCTTTCATGCCTAAGGCAGGACTAGAACTCACCACTTCTTTGTGATTGGCTCAGTCACCCAGCTGGCTTTCGTGCCTAAGGTGGGAGTAGAACTCACTGCTTCTTGGTGATTGGCCCAAAGTCACCTGGCTTCATGCCTAAGGTGGGACTAGAACTCACACTCTCCTGGTGATTGGCTCAGTCACTCAGCTGGCTTTCATGCCTAACGTGGGACTAGAACTCACTGCTTCCTGGTGATTGGTCCAAAGTCATCTGGCTTTCATGCCTGAGGTGAGACTAGAACTCTCCACTTCCTGGTGATTGGCCCAAAGTCATCTGGCTTTCATGCCTAAGGTGGGACTAGAACTCACTGCTTCTTGGTGATTGGCCCAAAGTCACTTGGCTTCATGCCTAAGGTGGGACTAGAACTCACTGCTTCCTGGTGATTGGCCCAAAGTCATCTGGCTTTCATGCCTGAGGTGGGACTAGAACTCACAGTCTACTGGATTCCAGCCTGGTGCCTTAATCACTAGACCAAACTGACTCTCTTATATTCCTGGAATATATTAAACACAGTATATCCAGCTAAGTTTGACCTTGAACTACTGTATGAGTGCCAGGTTGGGTAAAACTATTCCAATCTCTTCATTTTCCAGTTGATATCTACCCATTTCTCAAGAGAATTTCCTCATGTTTTTGTGATGTAGAAAAATAATATTCTTAATTTTTTGGGGAAAAAGCAATCCCAATATAGTATTTAACCCTTGATTGGACTTTCTACCTTAATTGCTGTGAATTCTACTTTATTGGGATTTATCCAGGAATGGAAACCCGTCCCCCATGTCCTGCAGCATTGAGAAACTGGTGCCATAAATCAACAGCACATCATAAATGACTGACAAACTGATATTATTGAACACCTGGCCCATTCAGATGTTGATGGACTCTTATCATTCTCCTTCCCTGCCAGCAATATCAACTGATATTAATATCAATTATGCCAGTTGCCATCAAATACATTGGAAGAACATCAGGCGATAGAGGAATCAGAGTAATTACACACAAAACAGATAACAGAAAATCATCAGAGACAGCTTTAAAATACCATTTAGATCAACATCTATTCATCATGATGATTATATATGCTATCCAGAGGCTGGATGGTTCTGGATATCGGTCACTTGAGAACTTGAGGATGTCTTTCTATCTAGCTTCTGAAAGTCTCTTGAAATTCTACAGTCTTTGATTTGACTCAAGACAGCAGTAATTTTATGTCCCTATGAATAACGTTGTCATTAAGGCTTCACGCAAGGAGAGGCCACAGGTTGAAAAAATTATCTATCTGATGGGAAATTAATTGGCATGCCAAGGCTGTTGATTGCTAGTGCCCCTGTTTTCTCAGGCATTACTCACTCTGACACGCTCCTCCAAGTCGGTAAAATCCCACGGGGCAGTCTGGCACGCAGTGGTCCTTCAGAAGCAGGTGAGGGGGATCACGGCACCTCAGACAGATGCTTCCTCTGTCTGTGTGGAGATCTGCCACGCACAACTCACAAAGCGGATGGCAATCTGCTCAGAGAGGACAGAAATGTGGGTACAGTTCATAACAAGTCAACTTTCTGAATGGTCAAAACAGAATCACAAGGGAACAACTGTGAGTTTTCATTCATTCAGTCCTTCAGTCGTTCATTCATTCAGTCAGTCAGTCATTTATTCATTCATTCAGTCATTTATTCATCCATTCATTCAGTCAGTCATTCATTCATTCAGTCATTTATTCATTCATTCAGTCAGTCAGTCAGTCAGTCATTTATTCATTCATTCAGTCAGTCAATCAGTCAGTTGGTCATTCATTCATTCATTCATTCATTCATTCATTCATTCATTCATCCAGTTGTTCATGTATCCTGACTTTACAGATGCTCCTCAACTTACAACAGTTCATTTAGTGGCCGTTTGAAGTTTCAACAGCACTGAAAAATGTGACTTATGACCATTTCTCACACTTACGATGGTTGCAGCATCCTCATGGTCACGTGATTTACATTCAGATGCTTGAAAACTGACACATTTATGATAGTTGTAGCATCCCGGGGTCATGTGATCCCCTTTTGCGACCTTCTGACAAACAAAGTCAATGGGGAAGCCAGATTCGCTTAACAACCATGTTACTGATTTAACAACTGCAGTTATTGACTTAACAAATATGGCAAGAAAAGCCGTAAAATGGGGCAAAAACTCACTTAACAAATTTCTCACTTAGCAACTTAAATGTTGGGCTCAATTGTGGTCATAAGTCGAGGATTACCTGTATTATTTTAGAAATAATTCAAGGTGGAGGACATTATAGTCTTCAACCTACGACCAAAATTGACCTCAAAATTTCTGCTCCTACGGGAGACAGTTGTTAAGTGAGTTTTGCCCCGTTTTATGACCTTTCTCGTCACAGTTAAGTGACTCATTTAACTTGTTAAGTTAGCAACAAGTTACTAACTTAAGTGAATCTGGCTTCCACGTTGACTTTGCTTGTCAGGAGGTCGCAAAAACAGATCACACGGCCCCCAGGACACTGCAACCGTCAATTGCCAAGGGTCTGAATTTTGATCATGTGACCACGGGGATGCGTAAATGTGAAAACTGGTCATAAGCTCCCTTTTTCAGTGCCCTAATAACTTCGAACAGTCACTAAATGAATAAATTGTAAGTCAAGGACCTTGTGATGACCCAGGGCCCCGGGGAGGCAAAGCAGTTGGCTGGGAAGAGAAACAGTCCTTTAATAACTGCCAATGTTCCCCAAAAGCTCCCACATATGCTGGCAAGCCTTACACGTTCCTTTCAGCTGCCTCTGGCTGAAGGCAATTTCAATACAGCCAGGAGAAGTATACAATGTCCTCAAGGCCAGACAGATTACAAGAAAACAAAATAGAAACTTAATGAGTCCTTTTAAATCTCAGCTTGCCTGCAAGTCTGCAAGGAGCGACTCAGAAATGTAGTCTGCGGTCATAAAGCAGGAAACCAGCTGGTCCGGTATTCAAGGTGTCCAGGTTAAACAAAGACAAGAGCACAATTCACAACTGTCCCAAAATACCACGTTTGTTCCCGGCAAATGCCCAGCCCTACAGCGGCTCCTTAAATCTTAATCCCCAGGTGTGCCTTGTGGAGTGGGGCGGGACGCTCTCCTCCTGAGCAATTGAGCCTGCCTACGTTGTTCTCTCCTCCTCTTTGCTCTAAGTCTAGGATCAGGTGGGGGGGGGGCTTGCTTCTCGCCTGAACTCTGCCTCCCCTGTTCCAAACCTGCAGGGCCCTGGCCTGCCTCAGCCTGCTCTTCGCCTTAGTCCGCCGAAGCCACAGACACCTCCTCCTGGGCCTCAATAGGGTCCTGGCTCCAGCTCCATTGTCCTCCTTGGATTCAGGCTCAGACGGAGGCATGACAGACCTGTACTATTGTACACATTGTTGGTATGGTTTGCTCTTCAAAGGAGAAGCAACTCTGGCAATAAGAATAAGAAGGAAGGGACCTTGGAGGTCATCGAGTCCAACCCCCTGCTCAGGCAGGAAACCTTACACCATTTCGGACAGATGGCTGTGCAGTCTCTTCTTAAAAACTTCCAGTGTTGGAGCATTCACCGCTTCTGGAGGCAGGTTGTTCCACTGGTTAATTGTTCTAACTGTCAGGTAGTTTCTCCTTAGTTCTAGGTTGCTTCTCTCCTTGGTTAGTTTCCATCCGTTGCTTCTTGTCCTGCCTTCAGGCGCCTTGGAGAATAGCTTGACTCCCTCTTCTTTGGGGCAGCCCCTGAGATACTGGAACACTGCTATCCTGTCCCCTCTTGTCCTTCTCTTCGTTAAACTAGACATCCCCAATTCCAGCAACCATTCTTCATATGTTTTAGCCTCCAGTCTCCTGATCATCTTTGTTGCTCTTCTCTGAACTCTTTCTAGAGCAGTGGTTCTCAACCTTTTTAATGCCGCGACCCCCAACCGGTCGTAAGTCAAGGACTACTCAACCGGTCGTAAGTCGAGGACTACTCAACTGGTGCAGCACCGTTTGCAGAATGGGACTTTTGGTGGGCTCAGCAGGGCAGAGACAGCCTGGACAATTCCTATTGGCTTTTGAAAGCCAATAGAATTTGACTCTATTCAAGAGAGTCTATTCTATTGGCTTTCAAAAGCCAATAAAATAAAAGGGAGTAGCACAGCTAAGGAAAAGGGGGGAAAATGGCGGACTGCGTTGTTTGGCGACCCCCGTGAAATGGTCGTTCCGACCCACAGGTTGAGAACCACTGTTCTAGAGTCTCAGCATCTTTTTTTACATCGTGGTGACCAAAACTGGATGCAGTATTCCAGAGGACCATTCACCAGTAATTACCGGGCTTCGGGATGGCTTTCCACCCTGGCTTTCCATGTGTCTATCTGGCTGTTCTTTCTGAGTAACCAGATGATCAAACAAGAGAGACCAGACTTCAAGGGATAGTTAAGACTGCAGAAAAAAAAAACAACTGCAACCAGCCTGCCTTCCATTGAGGATCTGTATACAGCAGCAGCCACAAAGAGGGCTGAGAAAATATCTACAGACCCCTCACATCCTGGACATAAACTGTTTCAACTTCCTCCCTCGAGACAATGCTATGGGGTATACTGCACACCAACGCAACTAGACACAAGGCCAGTTTTTCCCCCAGGCCATCACTTTGCTGAACAACTAATTCCCACAGTAGGAATTAGTTCCCTGGGATGTCAAATCAGTTAGTAGGGCTGCATTGCTATTATCCTTCTCATCTTTCCTATTCCCTATTTTCTTATCTTCCTATAACTATATTAATAAAGGAGAATATTTGTAGCCCAGGGCTGACATGAGGGGTCCTTGGTGCCCTCTGAGCTTGGTTGTTTTTCTTAAAGACGTTTCATTACCTTAGCCCTGATGATGTTACCTAGTTTGGGTAATGAAACGTCTGCAAGAAAAACAACCAAGCTCAGAGAGCACCAAAGACCCCCCTTGTGACTGTAACTTTTTTGTCTGTATTTTATGATCTATGTTGATTGCTTTTATTTAGTTATCCTACTATGATTTATGTTGATTGCTTATTTACCGTAGTATCCTATGACCATTATGGAGTATTGTATCTTGTGATTTATTATGATTGTATTTTATGATTATGATCAGGATTTATCACTTGTTGCCTGTATGTACACTGAGAGCTTATGTATTGGAGACAAATTCCTTGTGTGTCCAATCACACTTGGCCAATAAAGAATTCTATTCTATTCTATTCTGTTCTATTCTATTCTATTCTATTCTATTCTATTCTAATAATAATACTAATAATACTAATAATAAAGTTGGACAGGACCTTGGAGGTCATCTAGTCCAACTCTCTGCTCAGGCAGGAAATCCTACACCATTTCGGACAAATGGCTGTCCAGTCTCTTCTTAAAAACTTCCAGTGTTGGAGCATTCACCACCTCTGGAGGCAGGTTGTTCCACTGGTTAATTGTTCTAAAATGTCAGGAAGTTTCTCCTTAGTTCTAGGTTGCTTCGCTCCTTGCTTAGTTTCCACCCATTGCTTCTTGTCCTGCCTTCAAGCACTTTGGAAAATAGCTTGACTCCCTCTTCTTCGGGGCAGCCCCTGAGATATTGGAACACTGCTATCATGTCCCCCCTCGTCCTTCTCTTCATTAAACTAGATATACCCAATTCCAGCAACTGTTCTTATTCTATTCTATTCTATTCTATTCTATTCTATTCTATTCTATTCTATTCTATTCTATTCTATTCTATTCTATTCTACTCTACTCTATTCTATACTCTATTCCATTCCATTCTACTCTATGTTCTATTCTGTTCTCTTCTGTTCCATTCCACTCTATTCTATATTCTATACTCTATTCTACATTCTATTCTATATTCTATTCCATTTCATTCTACTCTATATTCTATTCCATTCTGTTCTGTTCCGTTCCACTCTATTCTATTATATTCTATTCTACTCTACTCTACTCTATTTTCTACATTCTATTCTATATTCTATTCCATTCCATTCTACTCTATATATTCTGTTGTTCTGTTCCGTTCCATTCCATTCCATTCCATTCCATTCTCTACATTCTATTCTATATTCTATTCCATTCCATTCTACTTTCTATTCTATTCTGTTGTTCTGTTCTGTTTTGTTCTGTTCCGTTCCGTTCCACGCTACTCTACTCTCATTCTATTCTATTCTATTCTATTCTATTCTATTCTATTCTATTCTATTCTATTCTATTCTATTCTATTCTACTCTACTCTACCCTATCCTACTATCAATGCAATTCTTTCATCTTCCACATCTGAGCTCTCTTCAGTGGATCAAATCTTTCCCTAACAAGCACAAAAAACAGCAAGCTGAGAGAGTGATAGCAAAATTTTCTTTTTGCCAGAGGCATTACACTGATTGCAAATACCCTCCAAAACATCATGACAGTTGCCCAGCAGGGGCCTGAATATTAGCATCGCCGACTCACCGTTGCAAGGGCCAAGCTAGTTCTCACCTCCAATCCCCTGTTCAATAAAGAAAGCCAAATTAAAGCATCCT